GGGGGGGTCGTGTCCGTGGGGCCGGGGCCGGGCAGGGGGTGCAGCCCCACGCTCTCCCGCCAGGGGGCAGTGTGGGGCCGTGCCCGCTCCCGCCCGCCAGGGGGCAGCGCGGCGCAGGCAGCGTGCGCGCCTACACGGTACATACGGTACGGGCGGTGCTTACGGTACAAGGCGTGCGCACCACAAAAAGCCGTCTGAGCAGGTAGGGGTGGCACACGGGGACAGAGGGCACGTGCGTGTGTGCACAGGGGCGTGCAACACACATACATGCGTGCACAGGGTCATACAGCACGCCCAGGTACCCACAGCACACCTAGGTACCTCCATCACGCAGAGGGACCCTCCGTGGGGCTCCACGTTTTGGGGGGACACTCTGGGTCTCCCCTGTCACCCATCCCCGGGCCACATCCCTCCTGTCCCCCCAGTCCCCAGGGCTGTGTCCCTGGCCCGGGCACGTCCCCCCGCCGTGTCCCCTCGCCCTGGCACTGCAGTGACTGGCCACCACGAGCCCAGTTAGAGCCAAACTGGTGTGTGCTGGAGGTGGGGGTGGAAAGGGGGAGCAGCTGGGGGGCGGTGGAGGTGGCTGGAGTGGGCCCTGGGACTGTGTCACCCCTGTGGTGTCTGCAGGGTCCCTGTCTTTGGGGGGTCCCATCCCCTCTCCAGCAGCAGGAGGTCTCCATCCCCCCCTTCTCACGGGTTGGGGGGAGTCCCAGTGGCCACGTCCCACCTTGTCCTGGGCAGACTGGGCTTTGCTGGGGTGCAGGGACAAGGACATGGGTGCAGAAAGCCCAGCTGCCCCCCCATCCTCCCAGTTTTCCCAGTAACAGCCCCCCTCCCCAATACCAAACCCTGTTGCCCCCCAAATCCTCTTGGGGGGAGCCACCCCCTGTACCTGGGCACCCAGAGCCCCTCCCACCCCCAGGGGACAAGGACATCTCTGAGGCTCACCCATCCCTCCTCCCCCTGCCCAGGGATGGGTCCTGCTCCCTTTGGCTCAGGGTCCCCACCTGGGTGGGGGTCCCAAGGTCACCCCCCCACCCAGCACCCCGGCAGCCTGGGGGTCCCCACGCACAATACCAAACCCTGTTGCCCCCCAAATCCTCTTGGGGGGAGCCACCCCCTGTACCTGGGCACCCAGAGCCCCTCCCACCCCCAGGGGACAAGGACATCTCTGAGGCTCACCCATCCCTCCTCCCTTTGGGTCAGGGTCCTGCTCCCTTTGGCTCAGGGTCCCCACCTGGGTGGGGGTCCCAAGGTCACCCCCCCACCCAGCACCCCGGCAGCCTGGGGGTCCCCACGCACCCACCCAGCACCCAGGAGCCCAGGCTGGGTCCGGCTGGGGACCCCTCAATGTCCCCAGGGAGGGACTGTGGCTGGAGACCATCCCACAGGGGATGGTTTGGGGGTGTCCTGATGTGTGTGTGTCCCCCCCCAGGGCAGGGGGAGCCCCATCTCAGTGTCCCAAGGCAGGTTTGGGGGCTGCGTTTGGTGGATTTCCAGGGGAAAGACTGGCAAGAAAGGAAA